TTTAGACTTGGATGGCAATGCCCTAGTTTTCCATAAACACGGCGGTGGCCACAAGCACCAGGATTCACACAAGTACAGCTTACCTTCAGTTGTCTCCGTTCAAAGGGACCCCATGGCCTGGCTTTTAGCTTCACCTCAACCTCCTCCTAACTGTGGATTCCCAACTGTTAGCTTTGAAATCATAACCCAGCTGTGGCAAGATTATCAGTCTGGGACAGTGTCTGCAGGGATGACTGACAGCCTCTCCCTCTTGTGTGTTCTCCACAGCCAGACCAGCCGGGAGGGAAGCGCCAGCTGGTCCACCACCAGTGCTTGGGGGGCCCAAAGGCACGCAAGGGTCCAGGAGCAGCTGATGTGGCAGCACATCACTGTCCTGGGGGCATGGAGCGGACCCTGGCACACGAGGGCCGTGCCGATCTCGAGTGGCAGGAACATGCCTGGGGCCAGTTCCTCGAGTGGTGTGACTGCATGTGTGCTGTCATGTCCAGCATGGCGGCACGCCCGCCTCATGCCACTGTTCCTGGCTCCCACTCTCCTGTGCCCCCTGCTATGCCCATTCCCCGTCCACTTGCCACCCCTGCTATGCCTCTGCTCCCTCTCCAGGTGATACCCAGGCACCTTCCTCCTGCCCCCCACCAACCCTGACCCCGCTCCAGTCCCCCATCCTGGCCACCCCCCTGTGCTCTCCACACCCACCCAACCATAAGCCCAATGAGGCCCCTGCACCAAAGGTGGCACATGGAGCCACCCCCCACAGTCCTCACAGTTATGAATCCCCCTTCCAGTTAGGAGCCCCCTTCCCCTGCCCACCTTTTGTTGATGTAATATAAATAGACATTTTTTATTGTTGAAAACTAAAGAGGTGTGTTTATTGTGAAGTCAGGGAAGGGGGAAAGGGAGAGGTTATGGTGGGGAAGGGATCTGTCCGCAAGACAGAGACCCCTTGGGAAGAGGCCTTGGGGTGAGTTAAGGGGGTGCTTGAGAGACCTTCTCCCTCAGGGCCTCCCAGATGTGCACCCCAGCCTGGTGGACCTGTCAGATGGCAGCTGTCCACTGCTGCTTGAATGCTTGCCCCTCACAGCCAGCATCTGCCCCCCGCCCTGGGAGGAAGGCTTCCCCCTTCTCTCCACAGTGTTGTGGAGGACACCACATGCCGCAACCACCTCAGGGATGTTGTGTTCCCCCACGTCAAGGCGGGTCAGCAGTCACCGGAAGCGGCCTTGAGGCAGCTGAAGGCGCATTCCACCTGGATCCTGGCCCAGTTCAGGCGGGCATTAAATCAGTCCCTGCTGGAGTCCAGGTGTCCACTGTACAGCTTCATCAGCCACAGCATGAGGTGGTAGGCCACGTCCCCCATGATGCACAGTGGCATCTGCACGTACCCAACCTCAAAGTCTCAGCAGGAGAAGAATGTGCCCACTTCCAGCTCGCGGTACAGGCTGGAGTTTCTAAAGATGCGGGTGTCATGTGCCCTGCCCAACCACCCCACAAAAATGTCTGTGAAGTGTCCATGGTGGTTGACCAGGTCTGCACCACCATCAAAAAGTAGCCCTTGCAATTTATGAAGTGGTCTGCTCGATGTTCTGAGGCTTGGATCAGGATGTGGGTCCCATCTATGGCTCCCCTGCAGTTCAGGAACCCCAGGGCAGCAAATCCAATCACAGTCACATCCAGGTCTCCCAGACAGATGACCAGGTCTCATCCAGGTCTCCCAGATGGATGGCAGCAGGATGGAATTGATGGCCCACACCACCTGCAGAAGGACAAAAAAACCCAGAAAACACGCAGAGAATGGGGGCGGGGGTGCCTGAGCCCTTGGGAGGTGCCCAGTTCAGGAACCCCAGGGCAGCAAATCCAATCACAGTCACATCCAGGTCTCCCAGACAGATGACCAGGTCTCATCCAGGTCTCCCAGATGGATGGCAGCAGGATGGAATTGATGGCCCACACCACCTGCAGAAGGACAAAAAAACCCAGAAAACACGCAGAGAATGGGGGCGGGGGTGCCTGAGCCCTTGGGAGGTGCCCACCCCCCCTCTTATCCCCTCTCCCCCCCAACAACCCCCGCGCCCGCC